TTCTGTTGGTGGGCAAAACAGGATGGACAATCTGCCATTTATGGGGTGGGGAGAACACTTCACATCACCTATATAGACCAGCAATGGAAGCATATGCCCAGTATTAGGTTCCTAAGCAGGCACTTTTGACCTGGTTTCTATCTAGCCCTTGGTGACCCAGGCTAAGTGTTATGGACAATTGGGACTTTAGACTCTGTCTTTTTGAAGTGCACAACATCCTTCTTAGGCCACCCCACTAAACAAACCGAACTTTATCTTAAGCACACCTGTAAGAGATTAAAGGAACTAAAATTCTCCTTTGGACTTAGGGCTGAAATTCCCTAGTATTGGAAGAGACAGATTACTAATACCCCAAGGCCATGGATTTGGGAGTCACTGGACTTTGGTTCAAATCTCTCGCTTTTGAGGGCGGCCAATAAATGGAAACTTAAGACCACCAAATATTTGAGATTTTCATACTCTCTTTGCTTTCCATGACATGTCTTAGGCTAGCAGATATAGTTTTACCTTTGTGAATGAGCATTACTGAAAGGTTTGTCCTATCTCCAACACTCATTGTGTGCTTAAATAGTGTCTAATCACTTAAGTTTTTAATCTGTACAAGTCAACAATCCATGTATTTTTGCCTCCAAAGCTGTCCTATACATGTATACTTCCTTTTTCTCAGCAGTATTTTAAATTCTATGCCACTGGCTAAATTACTGGTGCTATCAATAGAACTCCACCACTTGTCTGCCAGCTTGCCATACTGTGGTAGCTCGTGTGTTGCTGTGACGCTGGAAGCTATGTCACATTGACGTTTGTGAATATCCCAGGGTCAGCCAAAGTGAGCAGCTTTCGGCAGAGCTTCCAGACTAATGGGCTACGAAGAAGGAATAGGCAGTCCACATCAGAGGAATTAGCCATGGAAAACCTTATGGATGGCATGAAAGCATTGTCCGATCCTGAATACCTTCTAGATAGCAGTAGAATATTGTCAGATATGGTGTCGGAAGATTAGTCCCTCAGGTCACAAGGCACTCAAAATATGACTGAGGAAGAGCTGCTTTCTCAAAGTGGAATATAACATAATGATGTGGGTGGAGTAAAGCCTTCAGGAGTAAAGCCTCTGAGACCTTCCTTTGGTGATGGGACCCAACTCAAAATGAGAAGAAACAGGTGCAAATATCGATTAATAATTGGAACTTGGAATGTATGAAATATGAATTTAGGAAAATTGGAAGTGGTGAAAAATGAAACGAAACACATAAAGGTTGATAGCTTAGGCATTAGTGAGATGAAATGAACTGGGTTTGGGCCATTTTGATTCTCAGATAATTATATGGTTTGCTATGCTGTGAAAGACAGATTCAAGAGGAATGGCATCGCATTCATTGTCAAAAAAGGACATTTAAAGATCTGCCTTGAAGCACAATGCTGTCGGTGATAGGATAATATCTATCTGTATACAAGAAAATCCAGTCACTACAACAATTACTCAAATTTATGCACCAAACACTACAGCAAGTGACGCAGAAAATAAAAACTGTTATCATCTTCAGTCTGAAATTGATCAAACATGCAATCAAAATGAATTGATATTTGTTGGCAATTGGAATGCAAAAGTTGGGGGCAAAAAGGAAGGAACAGTAGTTGGAAAATATGACCTTAGCGAGAGAAATGAAGTTGGACAGTACATGATAGAATTTTGTAAGACCAATGACTTCTTTGTTGTCCATACCTTTTTTCAGCAACACAGGTGCAACTATCCATGTGGACTTCTCCAGGTAGAATACACAGAAACCAGTGGACTACATTTGAGGAGAGAGATGATGGAGACGCTCAATACCAATAACCAGAATGAGGCCGGGGCCAACTGTGAAACACACCATCAGTTGCTCAAGTGCAAGTTTAGGTTGAAGCGGGAAAAAACTGAAGCAAGTCTATGAGGGCCAACATATGACCTTAAGTCTATCCCACTAGAATGTCAAGAACAGATTTGATCCATTGAACGCCAACTAATAACAGAGGATCCGATGAACTGTGGGATGCCATCAAGAACATCATCAATGAAAAAAGCAAGAGGTTATTAAAGAGAGAGAAGGAAGGAAAGAGTAAAGTGAATGTCAGAAGAGACTGAAACATGCTCTTAACTAAGGCAAATGGAAGAAATGATAACGTAAAAGAGGTGAACAGAAAATGCCAATGACAGCTCCAGAAGATAAAGTAAAACATGATAGTCAAAGGTGCAAACACCTACAGTTAGGAAGCCAAAAGGGACGAACGCACACAGCATATCTTAACCGGAAAGGATGCAAGAAGCAAGTCAGGCCTGGAGTTGCAATATGGAAAGATTCTATGGTGAAATTTTTGTACAACACATGAAGCATCAAAAGAAGATGTTAAGAATATACAGAGGCACTGTACCAAAAAGAACTAGTGGACATTCCACCATTTCTGGAATTAGAACATGAGCCAGAACCAATGGTGCTAAAGGAAGAAGATGAAGCTGCACCGAAGGCGTTAGCAAAAAATAAGGCTGCAGGAATTGCCACGTATCAACAGCTGATGAAGTCCTGGAAGCACTCACTTGTCGATGCCAAGAAATTTGGAAGACAGCTACCTGGCCAACTGACTGGAAGAGAAACATATTGGTACCCATTCCAAAGAATGGTGAGCCCACAGAATACTCGGAATAATTACAGAACAATATCATCAGTATCACATTCAAGTTCATTTTGTCAAAGATCATCTAACAATGGTTGCAGCACCTTGACAGGGAGCTGCCGGAAATTCAGGTCAGACTCAAAAGAGACTGTGGAACACCAGATATTATGGCTGGTGTCAGATGGATGTTGGCTGAAACCAGAGAATTCCAGAAAGATGTTTACTTGTGTTTTATTGACCATGCAAAAGCATTCAACTATGTGTATCACAATAAACTGTGGATGGTCTTGAGAAGAATGGGAATTCAAGAACACTTAACTTTGCTCATGGAAACTGTACATGGAACAAGAGGCAGTGGTGCAAATAGGACAAGGGAAGTTTGCACGGTTTAAAAATCAGGAAAGTACATGTCAGGGTTGTATCCTGTTAACATACGTGTTCAATCTGTACAGTGAGCAAATAATCAGAGGAACTGAATTATTTGAAGAAGAATGCTGCATCGGGATGGACGAAGGCCTATTAAGATCCTGGGCTATGCAGATGACACAAGCTTGCTTGCTGAAAGTGAGGAGGACTTGAGGCACTTGCTGATGAAGATCAGGGATTGCAGTCGCCAGTCTGGATTACAACTCAACATGGAGAAAGCCCACATCCTCACACCAGGACCAAGGATAGATGGAGAAAGACTGAAGCGGTCCAGGACTTTGTCTTGTTTGGATCCACAATCAGCTCCCCTGGAAACAGCAATCAAGAGATGAAATGAAGTGTTGCACGAGTAAATCTGCTGCACGGGACCTCTTTGAAGTGTTGGAAAGCCAGTGTGACTGTGAGGACTAAGGTATTTTCATATGCACATGAAAGTTGGATATCGGCTAAGGAATACCAAAGCAGAAACGACGCATTTGAATTGTGGTGCTAGCTAAGAATATTGAAAGTACCAGGGACCTCCAACAGAATAAGCAAGTCTGTCTTGGAAGAAGTACAGCCAGAATGCTCCTTAGAAGCAAAGGTGGCAAGACTTTGCTTTCAATACTTTGGACATGTTAACAGGAGAGACTAGTTCCTGGAAAAGGACGTCATACTTGTTAAAATAGAGGGGCACTTATTAGTAGGCCACTGGAGATCCCCTTGCAGAGGGGTCTCGGGGAGGAGATGAGCCAGTCAGGGTGCGATGTAACAATGATGAGAAATACAACCCTCCTCTAGTTCCTAAATGTTTCCTCCCCGCTCCCACTACCATGACTCGAATTTGATCTTGCAAGTCTGGCTAGACCAGAGGAGGTACACTGGTACAGATAGGAACTGAAAATACAAGGAATCCAGGACGGATGAGCCCTATAGGACCAGTGGTGTGAGTGGCAAAACAGGGGGGGTAAAGGGAGAATGGGTAGGAAAGAGGGAACCGATTACATGGAACTGTGTGTGACCTCCTCCCTGGGGGACGGACAACCGAAAAGTGGGTGAAGGGAGACGTCGGACAGGGCAAGATATGACAAAATACCCAGTTATAAACTATCAAGGGCTGAGCGGGGAGGGGGGAGCGGGGAGGGAGGGGAAAAATGAGGACCTAATGCCGGGGGTTTAAGTGGAGAGAAAATGCTTTGAGAATGATGTACAAATGCGCTTTACACAATTGATGTGTGTATGGATTGGGATAACAGTTGTATGAGCCCCTAATAAAATGTTTAAAAAAAAAAAGATTCCAAATTTAAGGAGGCAAAGGCAGTAGGCTGGTAGTGGTGCAACATATCACATTTTAGGGATGGAATAAAATAAGTAAAAATTAAAAAAAATAGAGGGGCACTTAAAAAGAGGAAGACCCTCGACAAGAGGAACTGACACAGTGGCTGCAACAATGGCTCAAACCTAAGAACAATTGTGAGGAAGGCCGAGGCTCAGGTGGTGTTTCGTTCAGTTGTACACAGGGTGGCTATGAGTCAGAACCCAGACGCAGCTAACAACACCGCCAATTGAAGGTGAGTAGTTTATGTCACCATTTATTATGAAATAAGATACAGCTTTCACGCCACAGGGTAAGACTTTAAAGATTACGATAAGGATAGAGTCGGGGGTTGAGGGGCCGAATGAGAGAGGGAAGGGACAGGAAAGTAAGGAGGGAGGGAGGGTGAGAAAAAGAACCACATCTACAAGAGGTTTGATGGGAGACTGCCCCGGATTGGATGAGTGGGGCTGTGCAAGCACACAGAAGAGTCTTTCTTCGTACCTATTATATTCCACCAAGAAATAGCTGCAGAGAGAGAGAGAGAGTGTGTGTGTGTGTGTATACATATATATATATGAAGAACGAGTGTCGAAATTTTAAAAAGAAAGAGAGAAGTGGTCAAGTCTTGAAGACTCTCCAAATTCCGTCCCCATCCGATCTCAACATTGGTCTGAGTGGCAGTAAAAGGAGGAAAAGTAAAAGGGAAACAGATTTGGATGCTTTTGTGACATACAAGTCGGTTTCACACAGCAACAAGAAAACCAAACCAAACAACACCAATAGAACTATCATATGCCCCATGGGAACGATTTCTAACATTCTCCAGTAAAATGATATGATGTCTCTAACATGGACCAGGGACATCTAAAATATAGATATATACACACATAAGTATTAATAATTTTTAGTTCAAACTTAATCATAACCCATATCTAAGAATAATTAGTTCTTATGATGTGGCCCTACTTGATACTTGCCCTCATGATAAAGATCACTTAAAATCAGCAATTCACGCACATTTTGTTTGATCTCCTTCACGGTGATCCTCTCAACGTAGCATCACTTATCCCACTTCCTCCCTGCATTTCCTGTCTCCGTTCTTCTGTCTGTCCTATCCCTTCTGAGCTTTGTCCTCGGGTCAATGCTGCCCTTTTGATCTCAAATGGATGATTATTCTAAGCTGTGCATATTTCACTTGTGCTATTAATTCTCCTGATAGACCTATCTATTGTTTGACTGAACACTGAGCCATGGGAGTGAGTTCAGTTCCAGACCTGGAGGATGGCTAAGATTACCATAATCTTGGGGGTCCCACCAGACACTATCCAACTGGTAAGCCTGATCTCTTTTATAAATTTGAGGTTTTGCTCCACATTCTCTTCTACTTTATACAGTAGCTTCTAATGTGATCTCTTTCAGAGCAGTTGGTGATGGTGGCTGGGCACCATCTATTTTTCCTGGTCTCAGAGTAACAGAGGCTGATATTCACGAGGTCCATTTGTCCATTGGACTAGTGGTTTCCATGGGTCTTTGATTTTCGTCACTGTTCTCTCTGAGCAGGAAGAGACTAATATTTGCACCTTAAATGGTCAATGACAAGCTTTCAAGGCACCAGTCACTACTTTCCAATGAAGAATGCAGAGTATTGTCTTTGTGGACTATGTTACGAAAGACTGGAATCTTTACAGAATCAGAGAATCCCATCTTTCTCCCTTAGACTGGCTGGTTGGTTCAAACCACTGATCTTTTTGTTAGCAGCTGAGCACTTTAATCACTGTGTTACCAGGTTGCCTTTTATTGTGACTAGCACAAAAATTGAGAAACTAGTTTGACAGCATTCAAAAACCATGATCCTATTTAGGAAAGAAGCCACTTGTGTCACTGAAGGATGACTGACATTCTTACATATGTCTTCTTTGTTTCGCTTTTTCTTGTTTGCTAAAGTATACAAAAATAGCTACCAACATTTCTGCAGGAACTACATTAATTCATCCATTTCAACGACAGGTTGCCTACAAACTAGGAGCCCGGGTGGGGTGGTGGTTACACATTCAGCTGCAATCCGCATGGTCGGGAGTTCCAAACCATCAGCAGCTCCGAGGGAGAAAGACTGGGCTTTCTACTCTGGTAAACAGTTACAGTCTCAGAAACCCACAGGGGGTCGCTGTGAGTCAGCATTGACTCGGCGGCAGTGAGTTTGGGGTTTTGTTGTTGTTGTTTTTGGCTAGAAATACAAGGGTCCCGCCGAAATCAATTGGCTGTTTAAATCAATTTTCAACAACAAATTATTATTTGCAGGCCCTATGCTAGGTGCAGGTGGGGGTTTGTGGGGCTGGGGGGCGGGTGTTGGTTTGCTTGAGAGGCAGTTGTTAAACATGTACCAACAAACCACCACATCAGATGGACTTAGATGAGTATTGGACCTCTGACCTTAGTGACCTCGAACAAGTCACTTAGCCTTTCGGAGTCTCATCTTCTTCCCAATGAATCTCACTGAGTTGGTGTAGGTGATCCCAACACCTCTGCCTTAGAGTCTACTCTGACTCATGGTGACCGCCATCTACAGTTATCAGCCTTAGAGTCTACTATGCGCCGCCACAGCCCTTTGAAAATCACATGAATCTACATAAGGATGCTGGTGATTGCTTGTGGTGTCAGTGTAGAGAAGTCCACTTTCCTGGACCTCCTAGTCAGTGAACTGAGATCTTGGTTGTCTATAGCTTCAACTACATCCTGGTACCTCCTCCAAGAAAGCCTTCGCTTTCCATCAGGGCCAGGCTGTGTCCCCTCTTGCACCTCACTCCAGAGCTGCGCTGCACTCCTACCCGGCAGATGTTGGAGCACACCCGACTGTGGTTGTGTCCCAGTTAGGATTCCTGGGCATCTCTGCTGGTCACGATTTCCTCCTGACCCCTGAGCCTCCCTATCCGGACAGTCTGCTCTGTTCAGAAGACTTCATGTGGCTGTAATCCACAGGGCTTTCTAGGTCCAAGGTCCCACGTCGCTCTCGAAAATCACTTGATCAGATTCTCACATCTTCTCCCAAATCTCAACGAAGTGGTCAGCAGCTTTGGCCACGCAAAAAAAAACTCCAAACCCAAACCTAGATAGTGTCCTGACCCTAACACTAACTATATTCCTAACCTCTGAACCTAATATTTTCATCTGTTAAGTATATCTCAAATTTTTAAAAAAATAACATTTTGCGGTGATTTGGGTGAAAGTTTACAGAGCAAATTGGGTTTCCATTCAACAGTTCATCCGCGGTTTGCGTGGTGGCATTGGCTGCAATCCCTACAATGTTGATTGCATTCTTCCCACTGCCTCCTTGTGTTTCTTGGATCCATTCAATCCTTCTTTTCTGTCCTGTGTATTTCATACGGTTGATTATTCTAAGGAGTGCGTACCTCCCTAGTGTTATTATGGGACCGGCCTACATTGAACGGAAAGGTGAGTAGTTCCAGGCCTGCAGGTGTCTAAAGGTCATCGTCTCAAAGATTCTACCAGTCTCTATCAGACCCATAAATCTGGTCTAAATCTAATCTTAACCCCAACTGCTAATTCTAATCCAAACCTCTAACACCCACCCTAACCCTAATCATTACCCAAACCTTAAGCCCCAATCCTAACACCAGACTAACTCCCAACTGTAAAGCCAACCCTCTTGCACTATCACATCACTCTAATCTCCAACCCCAACCTCCTCCCCGACACGTATTTCGAGCTCCTAATTCCAACCCTCACCGCTAACCCTCACCTGGACCCGAATCCCGAATCTCAATCTCCTTCCCCAGGATTCTCTGCTCACTTGCTCCCTCCCAGGTCCTGGTGCCTTTCCAGAGACTCAACTGCTACCCAGTCGATTCCAACTCATAGCAACCCAATGTAGAGTTTTGAAGGCAGCGGATGGCCTCATGTTTCTCCCATGGATTGACTGGTGGGTCTGAACCACTAACCTTGGGGTTAGCCGTTCCAACACTTACCCTAAAGCACTTTTCTAGAGAAAGACCTGCTATTTCCCTGGACCCTTCAGGCCAGGCTAGCAATGAGCTAGAAGCTTGTTGGTGTATACTTAGGGGTTTGTCTGGGGGACGAGCCAAATTTGGGTTTGACTTTGCAATCCTAGAATATTACTCCTCCTATCCTGCTCTCAGGAATGAGTCATTCTCTAGTGCCCTCTGGAGGCAGGATGGTGACCTGCAGACTTGCCTGGGCAATTCAGGAGGGAAAACTCCTCCTTCCTAATGTTCACTCAGTGAGAAGCCAGCCTGTCCAGTCACTGAAGTCCTTGAGTGACCTTGGGCAAGTTACTTCTCTGCCCCTCCATTTCCTCCGGTATGAACTAGATTTAATCATAGTACTTCTCTCGTAGGGTGGTTGTGAAGATTAAGTGAGTTAGTATATAAAAGTACTTTGAGCAGTACCCAGCACGATAGTGACCACTAAACAGGTGCTTGCTTTTGTTAAGATTATTATGATACTGGCGGGAAAAAGTATACACTTTCCTCTTCAGACTTCCATTTACTTTTATAATGAGGGCCCAAAGAGGGGAAAACTTACGAACCATACTTATTTTAGAAATTTGACGACGAACAGAAAAATAAAAAGAAGGGGGAGGGACACACACACACACACACACACACACACACCCGGGAAGGAGGGATCCCCCCCAGGGGGGAGGGACAACCCACAACCCCACCCCACCCCGATCTAGCCCATTATTTCCATTTTGAGGACAAGAGAGAATTGGACTTTGCAAACAGTCTATATTTTAGTGGATTTTCAATTGCTGCAACCAGGCCCAGCCAAGCAGAGCTGTTCTTTGATTTTATTTTGCTCTTGGCACTGGACTCTAATTCCAGGCATAACACACGGTCTCTGCATGTTTGTCTTTCCCACTAGGTTGGAAGTTCTGTCTCCCTAGTAACACAGGCAGCCCGGAGCCAGCCTGGGGAAGATGCTCTCAGATGACCACAACACCTGCTTTCCAGCACTTGTACCACGTTTGAAAATCTGTTCGGCCACCATTTCTTGCTCAGAAACATGGGTAGTCTTTTGGAAATTGTTCTGGTTTTTATTGTTTTCTGGTTTCTTTTGGCTTGAGGGCTTTCTGTGGGTTTGGGGTTGTCGGGAATTTTTCTGGTATGGTTTTCTTTTTATGAAATCCAGGAGAGGTAAATCTATAGAGGCAGTGACTAGATTAATAGTTTCTTAGGGCCATGGCATGGAAGGCTGGGGGGAAATAAGGACCTAATACTAATGAGCTCATAATAATGAGGAGGACGCCATGCTTGGTCAAGCCAAGGGGCGGAGACAAAGAGGAAGGCCTGTGACAAGATGGATGGACACAGTAGCTGCAACTCTGGGCTCAGCCCTGAGGACAATTGTCAGGACTGGGCCGGGACAGGCCGTGTGTCGTCCCGTTGTACTTGAATCGGACGCAACTTGAGAGCACCTAACAACAACAACAACAATATAACGAGTATAAGACTGAAAAAATGATCTAAAATTGTGGTGATGATCGCACCACTCTTTTTAATCTATTTAATCCCATTAAACACGGGATGTGAATTCTACGTCAAGTAAACTGTGAATTCCTTTTAAAAGATGGCTCACTGCTAAGACAGTGTTTTATGATGCAACCCCCTTTGTGGTCAAAGTGTTTGTTTTGCTGCCAAAGAATGAAAAGGCACCATGGGTCGTTCTAGCAGAACCACCGTTGTAATGAAATGCCAGGGCTATAGTCTGTCGT